CAGCAATTTCTGTCTCGTAAAACTGCAAGAGTTAAAAAAAAATATTTCATATAAAACGTGTCCTCAAGCAACTTTAAATTTCTTGACAAAAAAAAAACATCAAAAAAGCTTTTTTTGTTAAAAAAAAGAAAAGAAAACAGAAGACTTCAAGTGAAAAATTGAGCCAACTTCAGAACTTTTCCACTGATTGTTAAAAACATTGTCCGTCTGCGGGTGGAGCTTTCTTTCCGAGGAACTTTCACTGCAACTCCGCATCATTCGCCCGCCAAAAAAAACGCACTTTAATAAAGATAATAAAAAAGAAAAGACCAGCAGCAGATGGGAAAGAACAGGGGAAAAAACAGAACCAAGATGAAATTGCATTATGTCGATTTTGTGGATTTTCCTATGCAAAGAGAAAAATGGATGAAAAGCCGGGGGGAAAACTGAAAAAAATTCGATGGTAAGATAGCGAAAGGAAGCTAGACGACCGGCTGCAAGTGGCTTAAAAAAGTGCCTCAAGATGTGGCAACATTGGTTTCGGACAGAAGTTACTTTGCATCTTTTAAGGATAGTCCACGGAGGAACACAAAAAAAAACGGAAACGAAAACAGGAAAAATGCAGAATAAAAGGATAAAGATTTTCATTGGTTTCGGCTGCAGGCTGATGAAGCTGAAGCGGCTTTCAGGTAGTATATATATTTCCTAGCCATTCATTCCTCATAAAATCATTCTATTTTGCAAAGCGCTAAACTTTCTCCTCAGGGTATGGGAGAGAAGGAAATTAAGTGCATTGAATGGACATTTTATAGATGAGTTTGTAAGACGGAAAGATTACAAAGGAAGTCACTAAATGAGCTTCGATATCTGACGGCTTGACGCACTAGTGTTGTACAGTAAGTGGAAATAGTATTAGTAATAGACACAGTAGTATAGATCGTTCCGACTACGTTGTGTCACGTTGAGAAGTATTTAAGGTTGTGGATTTTAATCACCAACATTTGCTAATCAAAAGCATTTAATGCATATTGAACATTTATTACATTTATTTTATGGTTTTATTGAAATATTGAGCATTAAAAGTACGCTATTAAAATGTCAAATATTTCTTTTTGATGTTGATGAATTGTGTCAAAGATTACAGAATTTTATTAGAAAAATGTGGAATACAATCAGTTGAAATACATAAAGACAATCGAGATGGGAACAATATTCTTGACGGGAAGACATTTTTTTTTTTGCTTCACTGAAGCAGAATAATGATGCTGAAATGGAAGCAAAATAAATGAGTCCTATGAGTAAATATATCATTTACCTAAGCCTAATCTACATTCATGTTAAATGTTTTTTGCTTGAACAATTGGGGAAGTGGATGGTGAACCATTCTACGTTTAATTTCCAAACTTTACGCGCTGTCTTATCCCACTCTTACTCTTTCACGCAGACCACAAAATCCCCACGAGTTTATCTGCTTTAATTTTGTGTTTATCCAGCGTACACGACTTGCTTAAGTAATTTCTGACGCGGTCTGATCGGGTGGTTGGGGGGTGCTTCCACATTATCTGGCTGCTGGGCGTGTTTTTAATTGCCAAGGACAATTAAAAACAATTTTGCAGGCACAAAAGAGTTGGCAATAAATTTAATTGGGCGGCACCAGAAACGCCCATTGACTTGGGCTGTTTAATTTCGGTCGAGAGAGCAGGGGTGAGTATTTTCGCACCTAGTGACAAGGTGTCTAGGGTTGCCATTGCCATTGCCATAGGAATTGTGGCTGCGACTAGGGCTGGGGGGCAGCAATTTATGCGGCTGTCAGTTGCAGGGGCAACTTGGATTTTTATTGGCACCCGGCACGCAGCCAGGCTCCGGCTCCGGCTCCGGTGCTGCCTGCTGCCTGGCTTTACATCGCTTCCCCCCATCGCTTAGCTGCCTCTCAAGTAATTGCATTGAGCACATAAATCAATTGAATTGCATTTTCATGCGACAAGTTTGGCCAACCCTCGACTCTCGCTGGAAGGGCGACCGTTGCGCTGCCGCTGCCGCTGCCACTGCCCTTGTCTGCAAGTGAAGTGAAAGCCAAAAGTAGTTTTTCTTTCCAGCTGTCTCTCATCTTTTTAGCCCGAGCAGCAGTGCGCCAGCAAAGCCAAAACCCCCTCAAGCGTAGCATAATCAATTGAAATTGCATGCAATGCGTCAATAGCACACCCAAGCCAACCCCCAACCACCAACCCTCAACCCCAGCTCCAAAAACAACCCAATCCCCAACACAAACACCGAAAACTCCAGACCCAGACAAAGTTAAAGTCGAACAAGAATACTAATACGAAGACGAAGAGCATGTCGAACCCTCTATGGGTTCTGTTCCCCTTGTTGTGGCTGCACGTAAAAAGATTATCGGAAACTTCGTTCATAGCTTATCAAATTAAATGATTAATGTTTCTCTATGTTTTTCCATTCTTGCTTAAATTCGTCTTCCTTCTCATTCTTGGCCTTCTTGGAAAATGTCAGCAACAGTTTTCATTTCCGTTTTTCTTACTCTTCAAATTGTTTTTGTGCTGCGGTTGTTGCTTTGGCTTAAGTTTTGTTCAACATTTTATTGGGAAAGTTTTGGTTGTGTGACCTTAACGCAATGCTGATTTGTGTTTTTTTTTTCTCGAACATTTGTTGAAAATTTGGAAATCTAACAGGTTCTACAAAGATCATCCACATATGTGGAATATCGATTTGATATTTAAGATAATGAATACGTTCGACATGGAGTATGTGTTCCACACAATATAGTTTTCATTTTTATTTAAAAATTGTCCTTCGGAGACTCTTGCGCTCCACTTGCGTTCCACTTGGACTCCAATAATATCAATTTTAAGTTTTTTTGGATTATGCTCCACCTGGAGTCCACACAGCTATCCCCCCAGACAATCCATAATGAATCGACTATCAATATAATTTATAATAATAAGTTATAAATTTATTTATTTATAATTATAAAACGACTAAATATTGATATCATCTCTCAAAATCCCAGGAGCACGCATAAGTGGAAAGCTATTCCTTTTACATTTACACAGCAGTAAATTAGTGTTTTATTTGTCTTTTCTCATAAACAAAAGTTCACAGTTTCATCTTCCACACACACACACATGATCCACAAGCACACACTCCCACATTAATCAGTCGGGGCGGACAGACAGACATAGTACTACGCGTACGCGTACGCACTCGGAAAGTATAACTCATCAGGGCACAAATTACAAAGACAAACGATGACTGACAACCGCAAGGCTTTTTTGGCTGAGTGTTGGAGTGAGGGAGGAATGGGGGCTACAGCCTGGCCACCACTTAGCACCCACAATCCACAGAGCTGCACCATCAGCAGAGGAGCAGCAACAGCAGGAACAGCAGCAACAGAACAGAACAGGGGGGCCCGGCCCGTTTTTGTTAATTAAACAAATGCCGCAGTGACATGTGCACATCACGAGATGTGATGACTTTGCCGGGGCTCGGGTTAGGGTTCGGGTTCGGGTTTGGGTTTGGTGGTTGTGGTTTAGTGCATCTGCATTCGGAAGGGATGTGACGCGGGGTGTTGGGTGGCCTGGGGGCCTGGGGGCCATGGATTTCGAATGTGGATGCCAAGCGCGCAGGCACACCGACACACACAGAATTCCGCTTGACAAAAGCGCACACAAATAACGGGGGAAAACAGGCGACGGCGTCGACGACGACGACGACGACGACAGCGACAATGGCTCCGCATGCAATTTAATTTATTTCAATTGCAACAGAATTATTACGACAGTCGACAAAGTGCCGTCGCAGAGCAATTTGCTCAGCTTCCCTGACTACCCTCAATAAATTCCCATTTTCTCGGTCTTCTTCTGTTCTTCTCTCCATGCCATCCCTTCCCCTTTCTTGTACTCTTTTTTTAGGGAATTGTTAATAAACAAATGCATGCGCGAATAAAGTAAACGCAGTAAGCGTCAATTTCAATTAAACAGACGCGTAGCTCCCGCGTTGCACACTCATGGCTGATAATGACCGCAGTGGGGATCTGGCTACGGGGGCACTCTTAGAGGGTGGTCCCGGTTCCGCTATGTTTGTTGTTTTTTTCATCCAAAAGATGATCTTTCTCAAAAGCGCGATCCGGAAGAGGAGGCTGAGGTTATGGCACCCAAAGTTTTGTTTTCTTTGGGGTAGAAAATACCATATTTTACCTTTAAGTACTCCAACTTCTGGAACCTGCTTGCGCATCAGATCTATTGGACAATTTAAGCACCAAGTGCTTCAAAATTCGTCTGTATAATCCTCAAAAAAAACCAAAACACTAAACTACTAAAGTTATTTCCAACTACGGAATGGATTGCTAATTAGCAAGTTCACAACTCGAATCGGAATATTTTATATCCTACAGTAACTCTGAGCTCCTGATCATCTGATCTTTCCCACTGTACAGTGTACACGGCACTCGGTTTCCCTCTCGTAAACAGCAGCCTCTTCCCTTTCCCGGGAAAACTCTAAACTGCAATTTTGCAATGCCACTGCACCATGGGTGGCATAAAGCATTCAATTTCGTTGCTGCTGCTGCTGCTTTTGTTGTTGTTGCAACAAAACACTTTTATTTTTGTTGGTGCCACTGCCACTGCCTCGCTTGATGTTTTTTTTTTGCTTTGCTATTGTTTGTTGTTGTGTGTTGTTGTTGTTGCTGGCTTGGGCAGTTTCAAGTGTAAATTAATTTATGAGGCACGCCATGAGCCTGGCGCCTGGCTGCGGTCAGAGTTGCCTCCGTATCTCCCGTATCTCCCGTATCCCGTAGCAAACAGCATGCCTGCCTGCGAAATGTCAGGCAGAGTGTGAAATTTCATATTTGAATATTCGCCAAAAACGTTGACAAATGAAGTCTGCATAATTGGGTAACATTTGGTCAGAGAGTATGGTATGGTGTAGAGAGTTTATACGAGTATACATATGTATGTACAAATGTACAGATATATAGATGACCAGACAGTTTTGGTTCGATTCGCACTCACCTTTCAATGTGCCGATGACGAACAGAGCGGCCAGCAAATTGAGTTGGCCAAACATTTTGATTGCGGCTGTTCCTCTACTTCTTTCTCAACGATTCTCTGCAATGGCAAGAAAAACAATAGGTAAATGAAATGGAAATAAAAATATAGTGGTATATTGGAGAGGGGTGGGGGGAGTCTGACACGCCTCTGAGTCATCAGAGGTAGACAGAAGTAATTTGTTTGCTTGTTTGGTTGAGCACAATAGAGACATTTCCATGGTCGGGTCTGTGCAAGGGTCTGTTCTGTTCTGCTCTGGGGGTGTGGTGCCATGGTGCCCAACCCCGAAAGACAACAAGTGTGTGTGGGGGGGGGGAGCGGAAGAGGCGCCACCTGTCACCTGTGATCTGTTACCTGTTACCCATCAGCAGTCACCGATTCGTTGTCATCATTCAAATGCCATTTCTGGGTGGGGAGTATGATAGAACAATTTGTTGGGCCACAAATTGCTGTTTGACATGGCACCTGACGCTAATCAAAACTACACATGAGCCTGCATTTTGGCATACCATCCCCCTCTGGTACTGGCAGTCCCTGCTGTAATCGGTACTCCCCGCCCCCTCTCTACGAGCCCTGCCTGAAGCACAATTAAGCTCGAATTGAAAGTTTTGTTTTTGTGTGTGCCATCGAAAATGTTCATTAGTGTGGCCTGCCTGACCTGACCGGACCGGACCGGACCCATTGTCCCCCCCAAGGCTCGACTGCATTTGAATTGGAATTCAACTTTTGTCCATCCATAGGTGGAACATATCCCCCCCCGCCCTACCACCACACACCCCATTGAATTCGAAAATCGTTCAATGATTGTCATCGTAGGTGTGACTAATTGTTGGTCATTTATCTTCTTTGCTTTCTTTTGGGATTACCATTTTTTTTTTTTTTTTTTTTTTCGTTTCTGTTCTCTTTGTTCTTGTGAGGGGATTCCATGGAAATCATGAATAATTTGCGTTCCAAATGGAAAGACTGGGATAGGCCCTGGTCTTATGTGTCTCTAATTGATAGATAATTGAAGGTCTCTCCCCCGTATGGAGAGCAGAGCTCTGGATTTGATCAATTGACTGAAGATGAGCAGTCAGGGAGAGATGATGAATGAATCGGCATTGGAGAGCAGAACTTGAAAATATATTTGGCATTGAAACGACTGATGTCATCTATTGGAAATATCTTTACTCCGTTTTGGGTTTCATCTTGCAGTAAAACGACTCTCAACTTTAATGGGAGCAAACTCTCCTGCCATAATGGGGAAACTTTATACGGATTTCAGGGCACGGAACACAGAACACAGACCAGCATGCATTTTCCATTACAGCTGGCATCCGATTGCAATTTGGAGCATTTCGCCAAGCAATTACTGTACATATGTGAGCCCCTCCGACCCCCCCTTAAACTTTCCAACTTTTGTGACATGCTCGTTTGTTCTACTCGTACTCATATTTATATCACATGGATGTGGGCCAATGAAATGCTCTGATTGACAAAAGAAAAGACATTTTGTGGTGTGTGGACGTCGTCGCATTTTGAATAGAATAGAATACGAGTAGAGCGGAGACCGGAGACCGTAGACCGGAGAACGAAGAGCCCGGGAATGATTGTCAGAAAGTGTTTGCATGCAATATCCCACCTGACAGATGTAAACTTCCACCCACACTATTCCCATAATGTGACTTGTATTCGTGTATTTTGTTTTTTTTTTTTGTATCTGTCTATGCTCGAGCCTTGTATCTGTTTGTATCTGAAACAAGTCAACAAGGACTCACTGCCATAGGCAACACCACTGCCTCTCGCTGTCTATCCTTCTTCCCCACCTCTTTGTCGTACCCCACTCCACGGCAGGTGCACGAGTCCTAACATCGTCACACACGTCTCATTTTCCCTAACTTTCGTTTCGTTGCCTTCTCTTTCTTGTTCACGTTTATTTTCCGTATCAGTTTTTTTTTTTTTTTTTTTTTCGTTGGCAGCAAACTAATTTCAAAGCAAATGCGATACAGTCACAAGTGACTGAGACGACGAGTCCCCAGCCTGTTGTTGGGTTTCCTTGGGGTGGCGCTGCTGGTCTCGTATGTCAGCCTGTCAGCGATACCCTCTCACTGAGCTGGGTCCTGGCGAGAGCCCTAAATAACTTGAGCCAGGTGAGAAGTCTTCATTCGCAGTACATGGGGGGATTGAGGTCAAAGAAATTTGTTTCGGGAAACCCTAAGGAAACCAAATAGTCAAACCAATTAGAATGCGAAACAAGATCAAGACTGAAACAAGGAAGAGCTACATATACGGATTATTTTTACAATTTATTTGTTATTCAATTCATTAGTTATCATTCGATTCATTTGTGTTTCTCTCTCTGCTTTATTGTATCAACTTTCCTCATTAATTCCGCTTAATTGTCTACCCTCCAAAGGGCAATCCCAATTCGTTGTATCGCAGAGCTACGATCTCGCATGGCTCGCGTGTTTTGGCAACTTCATTTGCATAATTCTGTCGTTAAGTGGCGGAAAAGTGTAATCGAATGAATGAGTAGATAGACGCACACTCTGGGGAATGCCCCACCGCCCACACACTCGACTTCCCCCTAGACTGTAATTAGAAGTCAAATTTATTGAAAAATGAATTGAAATTTTTACACAATGAGGAAATCATATGATACCTACTCTCCTCCTTCGCTTTGGGGTCTCTTTCGACCCATAGTGACAAATGGACAGAAGACAAAAGGGCAGCTGGCAGCAGCCCCACAAGTGCCATGGGGACAGTCACTAAAATAATGGAAACTTTACTTCTGTTTTTTTTTTTTGTTCATGTGGTTCATTTTTATTTCTTTCTCTCTCTCTCTCTCTCTCTGGAAATGTGTAAATATCCTGGGGAAAATGAAATGTTGCCAAGGACAGTAGCCCATCCCCCCCCCCCTGGCTACATTTTGGCTATGGAAAATTGAAAAGTTATCAATTACAGCTCCTTCTTGAGTGATTGACTTTTCCTCACCTGCCCTCTGTCCTTGCCAACTGAATGATGAGCGTCTAGCATATGGCAAAGGAAAATGTTTTGTTCTTTGCGCTCGCTTTTCATACGTACCACACCACATCACACCCCCAGCATTGTCCGTGCTTCTTCAGCTCAGGTTACAATGTCATGGCCCGAAGCGTATTGAGGTAATTGAATTTTGGTTTTTGGCCATGTAACTGCATGATGAGGGGACGTGTGGTGTACTCTTCGCCTCTGAGGCAGCACAAAAATGTTTCAATTACGAGTGCAAAAATTCAAAAATTATTCAGCAGGTAAAATAAAACACCTGCAAGTCTTTGTGGAAAGGGAAAGTGAATGCGCGCTGGCGAGTATGGGGCTACGGGGTTAGGTTGGTTAGGGTTCAATGGAGCCATTTATCAGGGATCAGGGTAATAGTTTGGTAACTGAGAAATAGTTCGAAAAGCCAATAATGTTCAATGTATGCTTGAAAAAATTCGGGATGAAAAAAGTATTTAATAGGTGATGGATTATGAATTCACACTACTTGATTTATTCAGATGTGAAATTCTTTTGGGGCCAGTAATCTAAATTATTTATTTATTTTTCACAGTTTTCAAATTGAAACCTAATGGTAGATTTAATAGTTATAATGGATTTTAATTGAAATTAGAACGTATACCCTTCAGAAGACTTTTTTCATCAAAGAAAAAAGACATAGTCTTGACACAAACAAGACGCTACATTTTACATATGCATGTATCTCTCGCCTTGGGTCTGCATTAATATACTTAATAAAATATTTCGTACTTGAGGGAGTTATTCAGAAGATCTATATCAGTAGAGGGACTTAACTTTCGCAAGCAGTAAGAGTTCTTTTATTGTTTAGCAGTCATGACAGTATTCAAATCTTAATTTAATAGTAGCTAATTGTCTTTGAAAAGCCCATATCTCTATTTGAATTGACCTGACTACTTAATCCTATCAAATATCTAAATACTATCTAATAATAATGAAAAAAAAAAAAAAACCCAAGCTGCTACACCACCCATTCAACCAACTCATTTTACACTTTTATGAGGCCCTTGCCCAAATGATGGCCGACAAATATTCATAAATATAAGCCCATAATCGCACTAATTTGATTCAAACGCACAGAAGCACTTGACTTGATTGAAGGCAGATCAAGTTGCCCAAACAAAAATGTGTGTGGAGCCAATCAAAAAATTACCCAAAATAAAATGATGATGATGGGAATTAATTAATAAGTCAAATCGAATAAATAACGCAAAATATATGTGAATGTAGCATGAAGCCTTGCGAGGGAATTCCATTGCAATGAGAAATTCTATTTTTATAGAACTATTGGGATTCTTTTGGATGTTGGAAAGGGGGATCTGGGGACAGGGATCACGCCCACTTGTGGCGTTGCCAAATCGATTTCAAAAGTCCATAAACAAAACAGAGGCGGGTCCTACGGCAAATGTGAAATCTCAAGTCATCCAATAAACCGACAACAGCAGCAAAAACAACAACAACAGCAGCAGCAACAGCCAGAAAGAAGAATAATAGTACTGAGAATGAGGAAAATTTATAAACAACAAAAAGAAGCATTTTGTTCGGTTTAATTTGTTTATTTTGTGCTAAAGAACAACACGCATCGAGTGCCATAAAAAATCAACAGGCATAGCCCCCCAAAACAATGGGGACGGGGAATGGGTATGGGTATGGTATCCAAAAGGATGGGGTCTGAGGGAAACTTACAAAATTTATAAACTGTGCAAACTCTGGCCGAGGGCAGCAGCAAGCAGCAGTACGTATTCGTACGATTAAGAGTGGAAGCAGCACCCAGCACCAGCGGCAAAGAACGCCATAAAAAAAAAGGCAAAACTGAGAGAGAATATTTATGCAAACGTCAATTGGGTTGCAATTGAATTGAGCCATGAGGCATGAGGCACGTACTTCTGCATGCCCGTATGTATACTCTATAGATTAAGTATGATAGCTGTGCCACCAGGAAGTGGAAGAGTTTTCTGAATAGAAAACAGGACATGACGAAATGCAAGAGAATATTGTTCTGAATTATGCGTCTCACAAGAACAAAGCTT